ATTGTTAAACTGAGAAGATCTCCTTGGAGCTCTTCTTAGGCATCGCTCTTAAACATTGTCATTTTAGCTCATAGGAATCTTTATGTATTTCTGATTGCTAAATAAAACGAGTTAAAAAAAAAATTGAGCCGATTATAAAAATTATATAATTTCAAACATCAAAGCCTCTTGCCCTCACCCCAAACCCATATGTCTTATGCACAAGTAATATACATATAAGGTGAAATATTTCCTGCAACTTATAGGTACCTTCTCTTACTAGACAGATACCTTCTTCCTACATGCAAATTGTGGAAAACTTTTGAGATTCCATGTTTCAGTCCTGACGTGATCCGACTTAATGAAATATAAGGCATTTTCAAACTTCCAAAAGGGAACGCACCTACCATCGTAGTCGGTTGGCATTTCATGTTTTTCTTTGAAACTTTCACATGGTACTTGTGATATATGCTTATGTCTTTGTCACAGAATAGAAGTTTTATTACACAGTACACAAATAATTATATTTTAACATTTATTTTTTAAGAAATCTTCTACTATCATCCGTCTCACCTAATCCAATTCTATATAAATCATTTATATACAACTTTATAATGAATGCGATCTTTAGAAAGCTTTTTACCAGAGTTTTGAAATTTATTTTGCGGTCGAGAGATTTAAGCACGAAGCCTAATAATTAATTTACTGGGAACTAATGAAGCAAGGAATGAAATAAGCAGTCAAAAGCTTTACGATTGCTTTGAAATTAATTTGAATTATAAGGAAACCCATTGAATTCGATATTGACATATTTTTAGATAAATCGGTAATAAAGTATTCCCGGAAATTCATCAATCGTTACGCTTTTGTAAAATTAGATGGTCTTTGTAAAAGGGAACGTTAATATGTTTCACTTAATACTAAAATTAAAGATAAAACAGAAAAAAAATTGGACGCTCCGTTCTTTTAAAAACTGAGTTACCATTTTTGGCCCTTTTTGCCCCGTATCTTCGGAACGGCTAAACCTGCCTTCGCCAAAAACTAATCAGCACGTCTCCTTGTGAATACGAATCGAATGTGTTTTGAATTATTCAAATCGGTTGATCGATGTTCCCAAAATCGTCGACGAAAATTAGTATCCGCACACACACATACACACACGCACACACACATACACACACAAACACACACATACATCCATTTTTTCTAAGCTATGCCAAAATATTCAGAAACCTTTGAGATATATAAAGATATATAAAATTTTATTTTTTTATTCATATATATATAAAGATATATAAAAATTTTCATTTTCGATTTTTTTGCGATTACTATACTTACCCTATGGGAAGTTAATAAAGCTCGTTCTAGCTGATGTATTTCTTGTATTATTTCCTACTCTTGTTTTAATCAAATTATATAACATTACAACTCAGATAATCATTCACATTAGTTTTATTATATTCCTCAATTTTTTACTTCGATAACCATAAAATAATATTACTCATTACCACTGCTGAAGTTAAAATGATCTGAATTTCTGAAGATCATCGAGCAGAGAGACTAAATGAGATATTTTATTAATGAATTCATATTTCTCTAATAACATTTCTAAGTGGTGAATATTAAACGAGGGTTGTCTCCTTTGCGGATCTTCCTGAAATGTAGGTAACAGAATTACTAATCTTGAGCAAAAGACCCATTAAATGTGTTACTTTAGGAATATTCATGTTTTAATGAATACAGATCAGTGGTATTAAGAACGAATGAAAGATTTTTGTGCCAAATAAAAAATAGACGCAGAGTCTATATTATATATATATTACAATTTAACAAAAATAAGACAAAAATCCAATACCCCTTTGCGGACTGTTTTAATTTTTAATTAATTTTCAGCTTCCATAAGAAATACTCAATAATTCATCATATTTCATTACATTTCCACTGACTGGGAAATTAGCACCCGAAAATATAACTTTGTTTAGCAAATAGGTGCGTATTTTAAAAACCCTTTCTTTTTCCAACTTCAACAAGAATTCCAATTATTCTCCAAGCGCGAATCGAGGGGCGAAGTTAAAAATAATTACGTGAAGTTAACTTGAATTATTTAACTTAATAAGGCGAATGTTTGGGAGAAAAAATCTGGGAAAATGAATTTTGAAAAACACCTTTTTGGTTATTGACAATTGTAGTAATAATCAGAAGAAGACAATATGTATTAAATTAAAAATAATACAGTTAGATAGATATAGACATCAGAATCAGAATGATGTTCTCAAGTCAGGGCTTCCTTTTTTGAGCAGGTCAGACTCGTCTAGTTATCGATAAAAATATCACTGGTAATGTAGATAAAGATTTTTCCGTGTTTATCGAATCAACTTTTGGTCGTAAAAAAACTTGTAATAAATAAATTCATTCACAAAAACATAAAATATTTATAATTGCATTCAAAACGCTTTACGTCACAACAAGCTCATATTAAAATCCGAATTGAAATTAAACCCACACAGAACGCGACACGTTCGTAGTAATGCAATCTGCTTTTCGGTTTGCATTATATGTACATGTCAAAAACAGCCAAAAATACACACCTATAATAGACAGAGAGCCAGAATTTATTTTATTTTATTATTTTTTCTTAGCCCAGAAAATGGGCAATTAGCAAACAGAGGAATAATTGATCTAAGTTGCACTTAGATCACTCAAGTTATATGTGAACGTGAGGATTTCTGCACTATGAGAATTTCTCTATGTAACATATTACTTTTAACTTTAATAAGGTATATTTGTTCAAATTTAAAACAACAAAATATTGATTAAACCTAAATAACAAATAACAGAAGCAGTTTGTGCATCGCAAAATATTTAAAGATTTTCATAAAATTTGAAGCTGCAAGTAATCTTGGTAAATATCTAATAAGTATAATGTGGAATACCACCCAGAATTGAATTTCTGAAATTAAGTGAGACATTGAAGTAAAGAAAGTCATTATATATATAATTTTCAATAAAAAACTGTCGTGTTTCGATAGGCTTAAACAACTTACTGAATTTTTGTAAAAATTATATTAATTATAACAAATTTGAGAAGAATTTTAATTATATTGTTATAACAAATTTGAGAAGTACGACTAAATTACAGATGAGCCAATAAAAGGCTTGAGGACTCGTGTATTTTCTTCAAAACTTTTTAGAATTTTTGATTTATGACATATACTTTTATACATTTTAGTAACTGCAAGACCATTTTTTTAACAAATTCACACAAATTCATGTTTCTTATGGCGTATGTATGTTGCACAGAAGTTGCACAATTTCCACACAATGCGAATTTTACTTGAAAATATATTTATAACCTTCAGCGAATTTTTGATATCATACTGCTCGATTTCGAGCTGACCAAGGCGACTAAATTGTATTTTGGGGCTCACAAAAACTGCGAAAATATGAAATAATAGTTTAAATATTGACAACATTGTTTATTTTACATTTTTTCCACTAGCATTCCCACTACTATTGATAATAATGCACCCATACTATTTCGTCCGTCGAATCGAGTCGAAACAGCGCATTGACGTTTTATAGAATTTAATTTGCCGTTTTGATTTTACACGAGCGATATTTGTAGATTTTATGCATGATGGACGACGCATTTCGAAACACATAAACGTTGATTAAACGCAATCATAAAATTTTCGTATAAAATGACCACTCGTCCGTACATATGGATAGTAAAGGCAATAAATGAGGGCGGACTGTTTAATTATCTACCTATATAACGGACACAATTCTTTATTATTTTGTTGTTTATTGACTAGTAAATATTTTTGTTAGGTTCTCAATTATCATCCAAAATTCCCACATATTATTATTTTTCTTACCGGCGATCAGAGCTTACAAATCCTAGGGGCTGTAGTGATTATTTACTGAAGAACGTAGTTGGCTACCTCACCTTATTTTGAAAAGATAGCACAAGGGTTGTTTTTTCTAAATTTAATATATTTTTATTACTTTTATGCCACATTGTAATTACTATAGCAAAAAGCTAAAAATTAATTAATTTTGTTCGAAATTGTGGACCATTTTCAAATCAAATCTAAAACCAACAAAAGCAGCAAAATAATTGTTAAAAATTAAAATTGTTATACAGCAAAAGCTTTAATTTCATGTGGATTTGATTTTTTATAGTTCAATGTTCACAAAGAGGCAAAGGAAATGTTGCTCATCATAAACGAAGTGTCAGTAAGATCCAGAATATTGATTTTTTCTAATACACCATGTGTTAAATGTCAATTTATCTAACGCTTATGGGAATCAAACCAATAAAAACATACATGAGCACATCTAACAAAATAGATAACCAAATAAAATGTTATGGTAACAATCACTGATGATAACAAAAATCAGTGAAAAAAACAATTACTGGCATTGCTGTTCGCACAAACTACATAATTTATTATTAAAAAACCTTAGACATTTATCATTTTTACAGAACGCCTTAATTACCTTTGTGATAACACTACATTTTTCCAGTAGCAAGAAACAATTATATTTATTTGTTCCAGTAGCTTTTAAAATAATCTGACTATATGGTATGACTCTATATTTTTATTTTGCGTCTAAAAATAAATCAGGATAATCGTAATGTAGCTCAAAACTAAAAAGGGTAATGTGCATTTGCTTCCTAGGTTTACGATTTGTCAAAAACGTTTATGATAAATACATTTGAATGTGTATACCAATAAAAATAAAAGTATTTGTTGGCATTTATGACCTTTCTTTTAATGGAATTTTGATAATTATTCGAGCAGTACAAAAATGTTTTAGTGTAACCTGAACAGATGTCATTTTATTGTTTTTCGTCAAGGAACAAACGATATTATATATCAAGATTCTGAAACAACCTTGTAATTGTAACTAAAGTATTTGCACTTGATTTTTTTCAAATACTGATGTTTATTTTGTGAGTTTGCAAATTTATTTGATTTGTCCAATAACTTACTTATATTTTTCTTTTTTTCCAGGTGAGTACGAAGTGGAGAAGGTTTAATTTAAGAAATAACAATAAGTCAGGCTAATCTAGACAGGTCAACTGTAAGTACTATAATAAATAAATTGTTTTTTTGATTATTCAAAAATCTACGATTTACAATACCAAATGTGTTATAAAAATTATATTTGTTTATATAGAAACCTCTAAAAAACAAAGTGCGTTGTACAATCACGTCTCTCTTTTTGTCTCTCAAAAAAAGCTCATGCTTCAAGAATATTTCTTACTAGTAACAGTTCTTTAGATCTATGATTTACATCTAATGTTTTATAAGAAATACGTTTGTTTATAAAGAAATCTACACAAAAAAAAATAAAGTGCGTAGTACATATCACAATTCTGTTTGAATATTTTGATTACATTACGCGTGTGTTACTCTTAAGAACGATTGTTTATTTATTAATATTAAAGGAACATAAACCGCATGGCCTGGATATATCTGATATATTTATCATTTACAATCTTGTATAATAAAACATTATGAACCATAAGATAATGTAAAATTCAATTTAAGTTTGAATGAATCTATCTTTACAACAATGTTAACTTTCTATTAATACATAAATTTATGTTTTGCTTCAAATTAATTGCTACTCTGGCGTTTCTGAACAGGTCTGATTCGTATCATATTTTAGAACAATATCAAATTCAACGTTCTCGATAAATCACATACAGTTATGATATACAATCTGCGAAATTTCTAAACAATTGTTTGCCTGTTAGTTTATATAAAGTTACACGAGAATTCTGATAGTTTGCAGATCATGGATTCATAAATAAATGGTAATAGTAATAGTCCTTTGGATAGGAGTAAATTCATCCAACCTATTTTATCTCACAAATAGTTTAAATATTTAGCTATAATTTATGCAGTACTGATGTGTGTTTTAGCAATGATTTATCATTTTTATATTATGATTTATGGTTAATATTAATATTGCGTAGGTCACTTGCAGTTCCACTGAATAATGCATTTCCATTTCATTTTATTAAATATCACTGCATTCACAGTTATTAATCGGAATATTTATCAATATTCTCTATTCCAAGCTATATCAATGTCGAATGTATAAATATTAATGACATCTTACATAATTTATTAGAATGGCAAACGACTATTACAAGAAAGCAATTACTCCTACATATGTATAAATAGTTTTATTAATCCTACTCTTTGGATTTGCAAATAGGCGCGGGTAATATCATAAAATAGTATTTAGTTTTATATTTTGTACTTTCCGAAAGCATTTTTTAGAAAAAATCCTTAAATAGCATCACAAAATATCCATGATTTTTATATTTATTTCAATTGCAACACTCCTAACAGAGGCTTTCATTTTTTAAGTATAAATAGATAGCATTCAGTTTTGTAGAATTATATTTAATTTAATCGAATAAAACAAGATTCTTAAAAAAAAACAAAAGGAAAATATACCTGATTTTATTTAGACTAGTATTGTTGGTACCCTGCTCCTGTATGGAATTACCAGACTACACAGAACAAGGCAATGAGATTAGCACTGAGAAATCGATAGACCCACTGACGAGGCATTACTATTCAATTTGGTCAAATTTACATGAAAAATAGTTTAGTACGGCAAACTGGCCATGTCCAGCTGTATCCTGATTAACTCATAATAAAAATTGAAAAACGGAACTTTTAAATATGATTGTGTGTTTCTTTCAAGAAAAAATTAAACTTTTTTAATATGTGCTTTTTGAACTTGTTAGAAGATTCTGCATAATTTTTCAGGTTTAATGAATAAAAATAAATACATATAAAAATAATAAGAACAAAGTTACAAAAATAAAAATTTATATAATTACCAAATCGATTACTCCCACAAATCAACAAATGGTTTTTTATCATTCTTATGGCGCGTTCTCGACTGTAACATCATCAAATAGTATTATTACGATCGTCTATTTCTATTTCTTCTTATATAACATTGTTAGAATAATACAATAGTTGATTCGTCATACGGCTACCGCCGACAATCAATATAAAAGAAATATCTCATACTATAATTAAGCTTTTTCGAAAATCTCATTTTCGTCGAGCGCCTCTCGGTTAATAAATTAAAATTCTGTCACCTCGCGCTACTCGCATCGACAACAATCAAATATTTCATCAATTATAAAAACACAATGAGAGAAGAATGTTAACAGTTAGTTTTTTATTGTTTTTTTCATCTTTCATCTTTTATCGAACCGTAAGTTAAAGTTTCTTCTCGCTCAGTCGAATCTTTCTATATATGTGTTATATTCTTTTATTATTCATTTCGAATAATCATTATTATATTGGAACAAAAATAAAAAGCTCAGTCATCTCGTAATATACCAACGTGTAATATATATATATATATATATATATATATATATATATCCAATTGGTTATTGGATATTTATTAGTGCAATATAAAGCTTCCCAAAACCTAGTAAGGTAATTCAGAATTGAATGCTTTCGTGGCCCCAGTTTAACAAATTTCTATAGAAAATTTATAAAAAAATAAAAACAGGCACGTGCAGCATTCATGCTTATTTTGCTTATTTTAAACAAATGCTTTTCGATACGTTCATTTATATAATCTTAAAATAGGGTTGAAAAAATAAATAAATGTATCAATTATCAGTAATTATAAAAGTCTATTTTTACCTAACACCTAAAGTCTGTTAATATTTATTTTAATTGTGTAACTGTTTAACTGTTTATTTTTTTATGACTTTTGTTCAAAATTTAAAAGAGTATATTCAAAAATTACGAAATTAAATTTATTTTCATTTAGTTCAGAAATGATAATGAAAAATTGCTAGTACCAATACTCAGGACAAAAATGATATATTTTTACCAAAAACACTCAACAGTTATAAAAATTCTGAAAATGAAGTTCAAAATTCACTAAATTTCTGCCTAAATTTAAATCAGCGAGTGATCACATATTGACAACTAATTTTTGACAATAATTAGTATAAAAAAGTGTAAAAACATTTCTACTTGATTACATTATTAATATGTATGAAGTATTTGAAATGTGCAGTTTAATTTATGATTTTATTAAAAAATGCAATATAATACGTATCTAAGGTGCGCGGAGTAGGAATAGGCCCATATTAAAATATGTCCAACAAAAATATAAATTAATCTTTGACAATTATTTCTAAGTTTGATTACCAATTTTATTATTATTCTAGCATCTATTTTCGAGAACCACTACTATATAACTTATGGTATATAAAAATACTTAACTGGCGCCTCGGAGGCGTCAGTTAGTGTATCACAATATTATTCACCTCTCATTTCATCGCTGCCTTTTGTATTCAACAATATCTTCCTTTGGAGGAGGGATATCTCTAATAAATCGATATATATATATATATATATATATATATATATATATACATGTGTGTATCGATGATTTTTTAACTCTATCGATTCTTGTTCTTTTAATTTTTTTATTATTTCGGATCTCCTAGATGTCAGTCGAGGCGGCTACCTCGTTTATGATTCTTCAAAGCGACTTCGATTTTAAAGATCAAATCCGATAAGGCACCTACTTTACCATTAAAATTTGTATCCGCTTTTGATATCGTATTATTAATGATATTTTAATGCCTTTGTAGATATACCATAGTATTTAGTGGATACAAATATGTTAAATTTATAAAGTTCACTAAAACTCACTTACAAATCGTTAGACATGAGCCAATAATTTCATAGGCAGATTCACCAAACTGCATTGACCTAATTTTTTTTATCTACTTTTTATTACATATTCATCAAGACTAGCAACCAATAATATCGTAATTCAATTCAGTAATTTCTTTAGCTTTTAAATATATGTTTTTATGTAACTTCCAATTCCTATCCCATTCAGACATATTCAAGTTTCCTAAAACCGTTTTTTCTCTATGCTATTAAGTTTTCAGCATTTTCTTACATCTGTATGAAGACTGTTTCCACTGTATATAAATCTTTAAATGTATATTATATTTCTCAATTTGCAATGGGGTAGATTTCGTATCGTTTTGAAAATGCCCCGTCATTTGCAGGTGGAAACGAAATTAAGGCATTACTCTTATTCGAGGAGTAAGAGTAATTCTCCTTTTACATTTGATATATGGAAGTGAGAAATAAATCGTTAAATAAATAAATACATATTATTTGCTGAGATTTTACAGGATTAATTCCATAAAATTATTTAAAATATTATATGTATATATTTATTTAAATACAAATTTTATTAGGCGATGAAAAAATTGACAACATTAAAACCAAGTAATATTTTTTAATTGATACTTTGAAAAAAAAATCGGAATAAATATAACACAGAACGATGATATATGATATTAGAGATTTAAAACCATTCAGTAAAATAATATACAGTTTTTTACTAAATTTTTGTTAACAAATGAAAAATCGTCAAGTCTGATCGTGGTTAAAATCATACCGAAAAAATAGTAAAAACTATTAAATATTTGAATTCAAATCAAGTTTTATCAAAAACTAAAATAATCATGTTTCTCAATTAAAATTTGATATGTTAGCTCTCCAAATGCCAGAAATTAAAAAAAAAAAACAAAACCAAGTGTTAGACTTACGAATTATAAATCGTTTCGTGTACTACTATGAACTTCTAGTAGTTATTCTAAATATACCGCTCAATTGATTATACTAAATATTTATATTATCACTAATATATTTATTAATGATTTATCATTAATAAATATTACAAATATATTTATTTCTCCTACCTTTTTGCTAATAAATTCAACTCTACCTCTCCGAATCCTTACAAGTTATAAATGACTTCCGGGCAAAATGCAAAGAGGGCTGCTCCAACTGACTGTTGCAGACTACTTTCTTCCTGAAAAATAATATTAATTAACAAATTACCTTTTCATTTTCAATCTTTAATTAAGATATCAGCGCGATTAATAATTTCGTCTGTGTTTCAATTCTCCCTTCGAAGAAAATATCAATGATTAAAACGGCAAAGGCTTTGAAGGACTTTATAAAGGAACTTGTAAATAGGAA